AGTTAGTGCTATTTGAATTAACAGTAATTAAATCAATTATTATTATTATACAGTACAAAATCTTTAATCCAGACTTGTCGGGACTTCGGCGATTCCGGATTAAGGGCATTTTCCGTATTATAGATCATCAATTTAAATCTGGTAATGCAGAAATTATACAATTAAAAATATGTAACTGTAATTTATGAAATAAAGAGCAATTATGATCAAAAGGGTATCAAAATTTACAAAAAAAAAACTTAATATTTATTTGTTTACTTTATTAAACATTTCTTTCAGTTGTTTAAGTTGCTTCGTTTATTAGTGCTAATACTTTCTCTTTAATTCTATAAACAGACATAATTTCCTGTTGAGTTTACAAGTTCCACTTTTCAGTCCGTAATTGCTGTTGTCGAATACCGACTAACTTGTCAATCAAAATTTTTCCGTTTTCAATAACTTCTCTGTCATTTTCTTCACCATCGGAAGCGGGCATGGACAAACGCTTTACATGCATGCATAGTGGACGCGCTCATTAAACACGCATGCGTAAGGTTATGGCTTTGAGGTCTGGATTATAGATCATTCCGGATAATGGACGTCCGGATTACGGACTTTGTACTGTATTCAAATAAACACAGAACTGGCACAGGCTTGTATGGCCACACTGGGCAACAGAATTTAGACAAAATTTTTGGAATTTAGAGAAGCAACGGGCAACAAAATACTAAAAACTGAAAATTATTGAATTTAGGAAAGCACTGGGACCCAGAATTTAGGGGCGACTAAATTTTAGAACTTAGTGAGGTGCTTGATAGCATAATTTAGGACCCTCAGAGACTGCATCAGGCAGTAACATATTTAGCGCCAGCCCTCGATAAGCTTTAAGTATATATAGGAATTTATTTATTCAGGATTCGAATAAGCCTTAAACATGTGCAGGAAAGAGACGTAAGTATAATAAATAACGAAACTAATACAGTCAAAAGTCATTAATCGGGACTTCGGCAATTCCAGATTATCGATTTTTCCGGATTATAGATCATCAGTTTAAATCTGGTAAGATGGCATGCAGAAATTATAAAATTAAAAATATGAAACCGTAATTTATGAAATAAAGAACAATTATGATCTAAAGGGTATCAAAATTTACTGAAAAAATCTTGATATTTAATTGTTTACTTTATTAAACATTTCTTTCAATGTAAGTTGTTTAAGTTGCTTCGTTTTTTATGTGATATACTTCTCTTTAATCTATAAACAGATATAATTTCTTGTTTCAGTTACAAAGTTCCACTGTTCAAGTCCTATAATTGCTGTGTCAAGAATACCAACTAATTTGTCAATCGAAATTTTTCCGTTTTCAATAAACCTCTCTGTCACTTTCTTCACTATCGTAAGCGAATTATAATGAAGTGGAATTTGATTTAAATTATATCAAAGACGGAGTACATCGATGATGAAATACTACATTTAGTAAGAAATTATAAGCCAAATAAAATAAAAACATCTGAACTGAAGATAAGGATAGTGCTGACAGATCAACTTCCAATCCGTTGCGCGCCGCTAAAGATAAACAAAGTTTAGATAAACAAAGGATATGCCTTTATCCATTTTTCAGCAATTCCACTTTTTGTTTAATGGACTCCGAAATACTTTCTTTGTAGATCCTTTACATATTAGTAAATATATATCAGATATTCTATTTGACATAATCGAAAGTTCAAGCTTACTTTTATAAAATTGCTCTAACAGTCTGCAAAAAATAATAAGCCGGATCCAATTCGAAGATTAAGGAACAACGCAATCTGCAACATTAACTGAAATAGATAATAAGATTATTTTAGCTTAGCTTATACCGTCCATTATACATTAAACACGCACTTGTAAACATATTTTGCGCACGCGCACACGCATATTCGCAGCCGTAAAGGTCTTGCTCGCATGCGCAGAAAGTTTGTAGCTTTGAGGTCCGGATTATAGATCATTCCGGATTATGGGTGTCCAAATTAATGACTTTTGACTGTAGAATTCAAGCTGAATTGTCTCAGTTAGCTATAGAAGCAAGACAAAATTTAGTGGAACAATGTGTCTTTCATTCCCGATCTTATGGTATCTGATGCTCTCAGCTGATACGGAAGCTGCTGAACTATTTGCAAATTAATTTATTAAACTCACTAAGAGTGAAAAATTATCTCCAGAACAAATTTACAACACTGATGAAATTGGTCTTTTCTGGCAGTATGTAACGCAAAATACCTTGGCAACTTATACAGAGAAAACTGACGTCAAAGATTCCAGAGTGAGACTAACAATTTTAGCATGGACAAATGCTGCAGGAACGCACAAGCATAAACTTTTCATAATCCTAAAGAAAACATGATGTCGAACATTTAAAGGAGAAAAAATTTTTCTGTTACGTAATTGTAATCAACTGTATGTCCCATACTTCACTTAAAAGTTTTTGTGAAAGATAACATATCCATATTATTATTTCATCCATATTGTACATCCATCATTCAGCTTATAATCAGAATAGTGTGTGCACTGAAATGCTAATATAAAGAAGAATTTTTACATCTATGTTAAATTTCTTGAATATGAAAGGACTATTCAGGAATTTTTGAAATATTTCAGTATAATATCTGCTGTGTACAGCATCACAAGATCACAGGAGAGGATGTGTCTCCAGACACTTTAAAAAGTGTTTGGCATAATTTATGGCCAGCTACCATATTTCATGATGAGGATGATGAATATGATAGCTGCAAATGTGAAGGTTTTCGGATATCACAAACCAAAGGTGAAATTTTTCATTTAATGGATTGTTAAGAAATGTGAAGAATCATTATTACATGAAGGTGATATAATAGAAGTTTTTCATTGCAATGACAGTACCTCAGTCATCAGTCAAATAATAAACAGCACAATCATTAGCGATATTTTCGGGATCTGGTTCTAGATCCTGAAAATACCGCTAATGATAGTGAAGAAAGTAACAGAGCCATTAATGAAAATGAAAAAATTTCGATTCGCAAGAGTGTCGGAATTCTCGAAACAGAATAGTGGAACTTTGTAACTGAAAAAGAAATTATATCTGTCTATAGAAGAAAAACAGAAAGTATTAGCACAAAAAGGCGAAGGAACTTCAACAACTTACATCGAAAGGAATGTTTAAGAAAGTAAACAAATAAATATCTAGCCTTTTTTTTTTTTTTTTTTTTTGTAAACTTTGAGGCCCTTTACTTAATAAATGCTTCATTATTTCATAAATCTTGATTTCCTATTTTTAGTTTTATAATTTCTACATGCCATCTTACTAGATTTAAATTGATGATCTAATATCCGAAAAATCCCAAATCTGGAATCCCCAAAGTCCCAACGAGTCAAGATCTTAGACTTTGTACTGTACATGCTTTTTGCAAGCATATGCATAAATGCCCATGCATATTTCATATTTTTAATTTTCGATGGTTGCAAATCTTTAATTTCTGTGCGTTCACTATATTTTCCGAGTAAAGTAATTTACAATAATTTAGTATATACCAGAAAGTTTTAAATAAGAAATATGTATAATTATAATTTGAATGAAAATTACATACATTATTTTTAATACCCACTCAAAGGTCCGTTTTTTTTTCGAAATTCTTCCACGATGGCATTTGTCCCTTTAGGCAGATAGCTCTTGCGTGCCTTACTCTATTTAATAAAAGCTTAACCTGACCTATGTGCCTAATTGCAAATATTTTTAACAAGCATAATTTTATATTTACATTTAGCCATCAAGTTTGAAACTTTTGACTTAAAACACATTTTAGGATACATTCATTATCAAATTCAAATTTTCTAGTAAATGTATTTTGGCAGAGAACTAAATACCTCTTTTAGCGTTTTCACCCAGTTTAATAATACACTGATAATATAATAAATAATAACTATTCATTTCACATTTAAACATTAAACTCATTGTCATCAGATTGCAATTCATCACACAATGAATGTTCCTTTTATGCGGAAGTGTCCCGTTTTTTGATTTGTATGGAACTGTCCTGTGACGAAATACTATCAAAGTTATCAAGGGAGCTTCTGGATGTAAACAAAAAACACCCTATCTGGACACCAAAGCCTGGGAGCAGTGCTTCACTCGTAGTGCGGGGTTGGCCCCTCCTTTAATTTTTACCTCCATTTATCTATCCAATCCTTACGTCCACCTGAATAACAACAAAAGTTGAAAGTACTTAGATGTAAAATGCCTTCGTACATATGCTTGGTGATTAGCATTGGGAATGTTAAAATGAAGTGAAAAAATAAAAAAGAAAACCTTTTCCTTCTTAAACTGAAACAAAAGCAACACCAGTTTCCTCGTCTTACTGTGAATATTTGCTTTAATTCGATTGCACCTGCATGTTTTTCTGTACTAACAAAATTTAGGTCTCTAAAATATGGTTTTCCTGATTTTGTTATAATACAAAAAAGTATGCTTTGTGTTATTTTTAACTTCAGTTTGTAATAAAAGTAACCTGCACCTGGTTTCTTAGCTTTTTATCATCAGATGAATTGACAGATGGCAAACTGCTCATAATGTGCAAATTTTATATCTGTTTTTGAAAGCTTTGCGAGAAAAGTTAACAGATGATATATTTATAGACAAGTGATTTATGAAATATAAGATGTACATGCAGAAATAATGCCTGTTAGTGAAATTAATGAATTTAGTGAAACTGTTAGAAAAAATTAATTAATTGAGTAACAGTGATAACCTGTCTATGAAATGACAACATCATTTAGATGTTTATAATATGACATGCGATATCTTAGTGTATTTTAATCATATATTTAAATTAATGTCCTTTTTATCTAATATAAATTCTTTTGTTAATGCTTTGAAATATTTGTGCTGTATGTAAACTCATTTGCATAATGGGCATTATATTCACTTCATAACATTGCTTGTATTCACTTTGATGTATCTGTGATTGTGATATGACCATGTAAAGATTTTATTTCCTGTTTTATTTTAGTGCATTTACTCGACATATGGAATATCATTGAGGCATTTCGAGAAAATGGGTTGAATTCTCTGGATTCTCGCTTAGAATTAACCATTCATAGGCTCGAGACACTGGTTCATTCAATTTATTATCAACTGAATAAAAGACTTCCGTTATCTCAACAAATTAATGTTGAAAACAGCAGTGCCCTCCTTGTGAATTGGCTGCTTGCAACATATGATCCGTAAGTGATCAGTAAATTCATTGCTTTTTAAAAAAACTTAGAAGTCCAGTTATTTAGATTGACTAGAATCTTATTTCAATAGGATAATTGGGATAATTTAGGTCATATTTTCTTATTGGCCAAATATGTGTTATTAGTTGATATCACTAAACAGTGCTGGATTTACGTATAGGCTGCACAAGCTATAGCTTAGGGCCCCAACTTTCTTGGGGGTCACAAGCAAAAATTGTACAATATTCCATATAAAAAAATTGACTTATGGCTGTCATAAAGGGCCTCATATCTCAAAAAATGAATTCTCAAAAACGATTTTATGCTATTATTTTTTACTAATTAGAGATTTATAATTGATAGGAAGAATCATGAAAACAAAGCAGAGAGTAGATGGGCAGTTACTGAGAAATCTAAGTTCACAATCCAGATATCTTCAATATTACATGGCAGCACCTTATGCTTCAGTGTGGTCAGGCATGGAGCCAACCAGCATCTATTATTGCCCTGTAGCAAACAGGTCCACAGATCATTGGATGATGCATTCGAAATCCTGAAAACTGTAGCTCCATACTGATTGACTTTTCAACTGATCTAAGATATTCTCAGTAAGAACATACTCTATAAGGAAGATATCTGAAGTATGAGAAGGTTTTAGAAATGTCTGAACGTGACTTACTTAGGCCTTCGCAGCCTGAACCATATTCAGCTAGGCATTATCTCTCTGGAATATCCCATCTGAAATTCTGACCAAGAAAGGAAGCATATGGGGCCATAGAATCTTTACCATATGCTGCTAGGCTACCAGTATTCCTTGTGCCACTACAAGAGTGAATCAGCTCTAGATTGTGTCTTCCCAGATCATTATGCAGTAAGAAGTGCTAAAAAAACTATTTTGGGATTGTGCCATTGACCAGGAGATTTTCGGGGCCATAGAATCTTTACCATATGCTGCTAGGCTACCAATATTCCTTGTGCCACTACAAGAGTGAATCAGCTCTAGATTGTGTCTTCCCAGATCATTATGCAGTAAGAAGTGCTAAAAAAAACTATTTTGAGATTGTGCCATTGACCAGGAGACTTTCAAACCCAGGCTGAATGATCATCTGTCCTCAAAATAAAGTGGCACTCTTTACTGAACATATTTACTAATCTCTGGTGTTCCTGATTGCTGTGGGTTTAATGAGCTCTGAATTAATTAAAATTTTGCTGTATATGTGACTATGCAGTCATGAAAGTATTCTTATTCTGCTTGTTCATCATTTACTCATGGAAAAATATCTGATTACTAGGAATGGTAAATATTGATTTAGAATGTAAAGTTCTGGCCAAGCTAATTATTTGTTCAATTGCTGAAATTAATTTAGTTAGTGGATAAACAGGACAGCCAATGAAATACTCTAACCACCAAGAAAAATTAGAAGATTCAAATTGCATTTAAATAGCTACTTATTTACTAACTAGTACTTCATTTCCCTTCACATCAATCATTTTGAAATTATTGCAGATTGATATTTTTTATTAAGTTGTCAGATTTTAGTACTTTAAGGAAGCTATTCAATCATGTTTTCTGTCAAAAAGGTATAAAAGATATTGTGTATAATGTTCTTGTTCATCCCCTAAACATAAATAGCAGATTCATTTTATGTTCAAAAGAGAAATACAGAAATAAGAGGCATAACTTTTAAAATTGAAACTCCCTTTTGTGTTTAGTGTTGATTTTATTCAACAGTCGTGCTTTAATTTTGAAAGCAACAATGATTATTATTTTTATCTTAAAGGAAATGTAAAATATTTGTATAATTTTCATGTTTTAAATTTTCAATGGTAAACTTTCTTTCTTTTTTCTTTTTCTTTTCTTTTTTGCACACGTTAGACAATAATTTGTTTTGTTTTGTGAGAGCAGCAAGTAAAGAGTAAATTTAATTAGCCATATAGTTCTGTATTTTATTACAATTTAATGATAAATTTACTTGTAAGTGTAGCCTAATACAAAGAAATATTGTACTTATTATGATCTTATGCTAATACATAATTTTTGTTTCTTTGTAGAGAGAGTACAGGAAAGGTTAGAGTTTTTCCTGTGAAAATTGCACTTGCTATCATCTGCGCAGGAAAAATTACGGACAAACTCAGGTGTAAGTTTGAAATGTTTACTGATTTTAGTTTTTTATGAATTTAATTATGATATTTTCTATTACCGTAATTTATCTTGTCTTTAAACAATGCTTGAAGCAGCTATAAAGCTTTTCATTTAATTCAAAAATAAATGCAAAATGTGATTTGAAAGGTCTGCAAGGTACTTTCTGATTATCAGCAGTGCTACCAGAAAAGGACAAAAAATATTCATGTTGCAACACAGGTATTTGAATAACACCTTCTTTCACAGTTTCCATTTCTCCAGACATTTTGCCAGCATGACTGCAGATTATGATCCCTTTTATGGGAATTTAAGCATAGAGCTAGACTACACACTGCAGTTTTTGTTATCTGTAGTAAAATCTGACTTAGCTTTCTCCATGCATAGAGCATAACATGGCTCGGTTATAAATATTATGCATCTCTCTTTTTGCTTCCAATTTAATGATTTTGCTGCTAGGGTTATGTACAATACCAAGTTCAGTTATCTTTGTTTATTTTATAAGTTAGTACAGTACAAAGTCCGAGATCTAGACATCCATTATCTGGAATGATCTAAGATTACCAACAAGCTTGCACCAACAAGCTATTTTAGTCCAAAGGATCTTTGTCCCAGAGGGACTATAATTTTCGTTTTGTGATTTTGCATTGAATCACTCTGAATGTCCATTTCAATTTTCAAACTGTTGCCACCAAATATTATTGCCCTGTATATCTGAAGAAATTAATGAAGAATCTGTATAAATGTATGTATGTTTCTCGCATTGTGATAAAACAACGGTACCTATAGCCATCGGATTTTGAATGATGTAATCCTACTGTGAATATGGGCATCTGGAAGCCCAAATTTGAAATTTGGATTTTGTTTTATTATCGATTTCATATTTTGTGAAACTTTAATGAATTTTTGATTACCAAACTCAAGGATTTCAAAGCGAGCAATGGCAACATTGAACAGAAAAAAACATTTTATATCCAGCACGTGATACTGTGTATAGGAAATTTTTAAAGATATGCTCAATTTAAAATTATTTTGTGATATTGTTGTTGAACTGAATTTTATGGTTTAAGTGCAAAGAACATGATACATAATAAATAAAGGTAACACACAAAATGTTTTTAAAAAAAGCCCCTTTGGACATAATTTAAAATTTGAAACCTTTCAGATTTTCCTTCCCCCATCTTCTTCTTCTTCTTTTTTTTATATTGTATTGTTATGAAATGTACAGGTGCGGTAAGATGGCTTCCTTACAAAGCAGTTTTAGGGTTGCCATATTTGGTGAGAAATCACCCATTTGGCGACAAAATTGGCGATATACCACGAAAGGTTGGAGAACATTCTGGAACAAATTCTTACCGGTTTAGCCCAGAATGTTCTCGATTACAAGCCGAAAGCTGGTCTGCAGTCTGAAACCCTGCTGGTCCACAGTCAGTTAGAGTGCCTCGTCTAGCGAGCTGATAGTCAGCCATTGAGCGAGTGTCTCGAAGTCTAGCGCCGAGTTAGTTGTCGAGTGCATCGAGAGAGTCTTTTAGTGCATCGTCGAGTTTTGTCTTAGACTGTGCTGAGTCGAGAGCTATACTCTTGTCTATCGTCCGGTGCATCGCTTGGAGAGTCTGGAAAGTATGTGGAGTTCCGAGAACGACCAATCAAAGTTGGGAGCTGTGCTTGGGTGCTTTGCAATGAAGTTGTCTTCACCGTTATTGCCTGACAGTGTGAAGGAAGTGTCGCTGAACATGTCAGCATGTTTATAACAGTTCGACGACTGTAAAAGTGGTTTTGGAGCTGTCCCGACAATACTGGCAAATAAAGTGTGTTTTGATACTTCATCAAGTGTCGTCGTTATTCACTCCAAATCTACGTACGAACGTGAAGGAAGAGAATAATGTAACAACTGGTGTCAGAAGAGAAAACCGCAACAGTATGCTTTATGGTGCATTTGATTTTGTCCCCCTGGTAATAAAACATGTGGAATGTCCCGATTCTTAATTTTACTTTGGCTCTAAATAAACACCTAAGTATTGAAGAAACAATAATTTAGCATACATTTGTGTGATCAATAATTTGGTGCATATCTGCTTGACATACATCTCAAGACAATACATTCTACATACAAGCATCATTGATTTTACACCTACTAATATTTTATATCCCTGACGTCAACCTGGTGAATCCATTATTTATTATATTTTGCTTTCATGCATGTTTATCAACGAGTAATGGCTCATGCAGCAATGACCAAAAATATTTTTTTATATTAGTAATATAATAATATAGAGTATTTACAATATTGACATTATGCTTGGCAAAGATTACATATTTAAGTTAAATGCTCTAAGAAATGTTGACGAGGAAAAATTTAGCAAAAATCTCTTTCAGTGTGCTAAAAATAGATTTTGTTAATGATACTCATAGGCCAAAAGATTACATTTAGTGTTATTTGAATTAAGAATAACTGATTTGTTTTTTACATGAACTCAGAATTGCCACCAGAGCTCGTATGGGCCACACAGGGTGAAAGAATTAAGGTAAGACAAAATTTTTTGAATTTAGAGAAGCACCGAGCAATAAAATTAAGGGATAAAAAAATTTTTAAAATTTAGGGAATGCGCTGGAATCCAAAATTTAGCAGCAGTAAAACTTAAAACTTAGGGAGGTACTTGGTACAGAATTGAGGATTCGCAGAGACTGCATCAGGTGGTAAGATATCTAATACCAGCTTTCGATATCCTTAAGTATATGTGGGAATTTATATATTCAGGACTTGGATAAGCCTTAAACATGTGCAAGAAGTAGACGTAAGTATAATAAATAACTAAACTAATTCAATTCAAGCTTAATTGTCTCAATATGAGATAGAAGCAAGATAAAATTTAGTGGGACAACTTGTCTTTCTTTGCCAATCTCATGGAACATAGCCAGTAATGTATAGTGAATGCTATTAAACTGGGCTAAAATTATACATTGGATTCCCAAGGAATTTAAGTCAATATAGCAAGCAGTATGTGCTGTTCCTTAACTTTCTAATTTGATCCAGCTTTTTAATTTTGCAGGCTGTTTTTATTACAGATATTTTATGAAAATGAAAGCTTGAACTTTTGATTATGTTAAAATAAGTTTCCAAAAGCGTGTTTCGATGTATATGGAAATTCTACTTTTTATGATGTAAGAAAACAGAAAAAGGAACTTTCTGAATTTTTTGTGGATTCCACGTCCCACTTGTGGTGAATAACAGAAAACTTATTTGTTATGCTAAAATTGAAGATTATGACAAAGTGATGACTGAATGGTTCAAACAGCATCGCAGCGAGGGCGTGCCATTGACGGGTTTTTGTCAAGCTAAAATATTTCACTGATAAATGACCTTAAAAACTGATTGCACATATTTAACAGGTTGGTTAACCAAATTTAAAAATCATTATAGTACAGGGTAATTAAGAATTGAAGTGAACGGTAACGTATCAGTATTATTCTTTCCTCCAAACTGGATATCCATTATTCAGTCTATGGATATCGGAATTGGGCGCCCGCTGAGTCGGATATCAGATTAGTGCCCGTTTTAATGAAAGATAATGTATCTGTATTATTCTTTCCTCCAAATTGTATGCCCGTCATTCAGCCTATGGATATCAGAATAGTGCATGTGCTGATTTTGAGCAAATTTAAAGTAGAATTTTTAAAAGCCATGTTAAATTTCTTAAATATAGGCAAGAATATTTGAAATATTTTTGCATGAAATCTGCTTTGTGGAGAACCGCAAGATCATGGGAGGATGTGTTTCTAGTTACTTTAAAAAAAGTGTTTGGCATAATTTATGGCGAGCTACCATATTTCATGGGAGGATGATGAATATGATAGCCACAAATGTGAAGGTTTTTGGATATCACAAACCAAAGGTGAAATTTTCCAATTAATGGATTTTGTAAAGTAATGTGGAGAACCGATAATAAATGAAGATGATATAACAGAAAATTTTCATTGCGATGAGAATGCCCCAATCATCAATCAATTAACAGATGGCAAAATCTGTTGTATGGTTCTAGATCCAAAAGATTGCTTTGGAATTGAATAAGAAATTATGTCTGTCTACAGAATGAAAGAGAAAATATTAGCACAAAAAAGAGACTTAACTTGCATTGAAAGAAATGTTTAATAAAATACACAAATAAATATCAAGCTTTTTTTTTTTTTTTTTTTTGTATATTTTTTTACCTTTTAGATCATAAATGCTTCATTATTTCATAAATCCTGATTTCATATTTTTAATTTTATAATTTCTACATGCCATCTTACTAGTTTTAAACTAACGATCTAATGTCCAGAAAAATCCCAAATCCGGAATCGCCGAAGTCCCGACGGGTCCAGATCGTGGACTTTGTACTGTATTAGTTAAGCTTTGTTTGTCTGAACATTTAGTGTTGGAACTTCACATAGGTTTATTTGGAAGTAATCCAGTTATTAAACTAAATTCCAGCAAGGTGCTGTGTGAAAAAGACTAATTTTTTATTATATTATTTTAAGTTAAACTCATCAGCAATGAGGAAATAAAGTTTAAAGGTAGCACTTCTATTTTGTATTGTATCATGCGTCGTCTGTCAAAATTTAGCAAAATTGTAAACTTGATAAAGCATAAAGGTAAACTCTAAGAATAGGAGTAGTTAATTAGGTAATTAAACACACTTAGTCATTATAACTTTTCTCCATTATTTCCAAATGTGATGGTTATTTCGCAACATGCTTCAAAGTATCTGGGCTGAATTTGAATTTCTACAACAAACATATTCAAATAATGATACTGTTCATAGACATAACTGAAGTTATCTTCTATATAACCAAACTTTAAATGAACTCCAAAAATATCAGTCTTGTAAAGTTCATCTGTGAATTGTTCCATGTATGCGTATTTGACCTATGCATGTGTGTTCATAAGCATCATATGGAAAAGAAACATATCAAAGTAAAATTTTAAATTAGTCAAAAGAAGTTAACTTAATTTGATTTGATGTAGATTTTGAACAAAACTCTTTTAATTACAGTTGTGATGTCTTTGTTTTTCAGGAGTAAGGTAAATTGTGCAAAATAGCAAAAAAAAAAAAAAAAAAACCATTTTTACAAAGTGTACTAGAATTTAGTGCTATCTATGAAAATTTTTGTTATTTGCTTCTGAAAAAGAGGAACATGTGTTTAATTTCCCTCAAAGTGCACAATATGTTATTTAAAATCTATGCTAAATTAAGGATGATATTTTTGCATAATTTTAAATGCATAAGCATATTCGCTTTTCAAGGAACATCAAGAAGTAGCTCAACTTTCTAGGTTACCTGATATTTCAAATTGATTAATTAGGAACTGTTTAAAAATTTTATGTATTTACAATGAAAGCGGTGGTCTCATTAATCTAGAGATATCATATTATGAATCTGTAAAATTACCTGTAAAATCATTTGCAATTTCTTGTTCTAGATATCTTTTCACTGATCTCGGATGTCAGCGGTAATCTTGTATTCAGCAAATTTGTAGATTTTTTGAAAGAAGCTATGGGATTACCATGCTCAGTATATGAATCTCCATCATTCTTTTTTACTGATAGTTTACCTCGCACTATTTTTGATGGGGTAAGTTTACTTTGACAAAAATTTATATGTATTCAAGCTTGAAGCTGCTGTAGTTATGCATCATTTATTTATTTATTTTGCAGAATAAAATAACTAAGGTATATCAGATTCATCATCCTCTTCTTATTATTGTTGTTATTTTATGTTTTCACATGTTTTACTGTATGATAACGATAGCCAGACTTTTGCTAATTTATGCTCTATATTTTCTAATAAGTGTGACAGTTGCAGTTAGGATGATTCTTCTCCTAGCATGTTTTTGTGGTTGCTTCTTGATGTGAGTACTGATCCTCATTCTTAATTTGATTGTATTATTTTTTTCTCTTTTAGTTATCTTGCTTTGTTGTTGTTGTTATTTTTTTTTTTTTTTTTGGTTAAAAAATTGTATGCATTAAATTTTAGTTAATATGCTGTTAGAGCCTTTTTTTTTAATGCCTTCTGTTTGTAAAGAGTTATACTGGAAGTTTTTACAAAATTTTATTGAATAAAAAGTTTTATTTCAAATGTTTTAGGAATTCTAGTATATTGGGAAATTAGATAGATGTAAATGCATGTATGTTTATTTAAGATGTTAAAAAAAAAAAAAAAATAGCTTTTGGAGTTTAAATAGCAAGTGAAAATTTTTCTTTCTTTTCCTTTTATGTATATAGTATTGCCAGTAAGTTAAAATATGTATACAATACAAATTAATGTTTTCAGTTAGAAGCATAGATTATCTCTAAAATCAGCCAGAATTTCAATTTGGGTAAGAATTGATTGTAGTAAAAAAACTTGCATTGATATTACAGTTGTGAAGGTAGATTTTTATGGATAATTTTTGTATACGTTTTTTTTTTTTTTTTTCATCCCATCCTGGAGATTAAATGGCATATATAGCGCTAACATGATAAGTAAAAGAAAGTTAACATCCTGATTCCATGGTTTGATAGAGGGTTGCTGGGAGATTGAAAAAGAGTTTCATTATTGCAACATGGCCTTGTAGTGATTTCAGTGTCTTCTTTGATTTTAAGGCCACTTTTAGAGCAAGGGTTTATTGGTAATTACAGTTCTCATATATCTGGAAATTCATTCTAAAAAGTTAAAAGCAAACTTATGTAATACTGCAGTGAAAAGAGGTGTGCATAAGATGGTTATTCATTTGGATTTTGGCTTTTTAAAGCAGACAGTTCATCTGTGAAAGCTCTACTTTATTGCAATCTCAAAGTAATTCAAAATGTAAAATGGTTTGGTTTATTAGTTATGGCAAAGCCACTCAAGGGCTATCTGCCTAAGGGAAGAGATGCTTTTGTGGACGAAAACTCTAAGGGGTACTGGCTCGTATGCACATTACACATGGGGAAAACCATGAAAATGCCCATTCAGCCCAACCATTTGCCAAGATTTGAACTCCGTACCGAACTACCAGTGTACCAGTGTTCAGGGAGCAACTTTGCCACCAGTGGGCTCATTTAAAATGGGATTATTTTTATACTATTATTACTTATCATTCTTTTCTGTATTTATTTTTATGTAATAAATTTAGAAAGGAAACAAACAACAAAATATTCAGTTTGCCTGAAATTAATAGATAAAATGATCCATGACAACTTTATAAATTCAGTCTGAGAGTGTTGCTATTTAATAAAAATGTAATTCATTTTGAGTAAATTTGCCATAGATCTGTCTTCTTCAAGAAGCAACGTATTCTGCAAGGTTTTTAAGTTGATGAACTCAGAAATAAAGTGAAAAACATGTTGTGAGTGTTGTTCATTCAGATTCTTGACTTTAAAACATGCAATTTTTTAAATGTTCTTTTTTCTTTTTTGGTTTATCTGTTTTTAGATTGATCATTTAAATTATTAGTGCATAAAAGGTTATTCTATGATATTTTATTTCATAAGTAACACTTGATTTTGTGTAATAAATATCATTGGAATATCTTGAGATTTTAAAATATGTATACGTATAATGGTAATATCTTCATTAATTAATTTTTTATACTTAAAAAAATTGTTGAATTAACTATTATATGTCAGTGGCTATCTTATTGATTAAATCTTAAATTATTAATAGATATACATTACTCTTAACTTGTCTGGCTGTCCAAACTTTGTACTGTAATACATTAGTGGTGTAAAAAGTACATAAAAGAGAGACAGTAGCAGAATCTGTTTATGTAATTTTTATTTCCTGAGTTACTAGTGCATCTTTTTATTTTATGATTTAGTTTAGCCGTAAGGTTTTTAAATTGCTCTTATAGTTTTCTCCTATTGCATTTGAATTTTACAGTTTTTTTTTTTCCTTTTTGCATTGCTTTCAATTTAATCTATCCCAGAAGTTTGCAAATACAAGTAATAAACACAATATGAACTATATAATGAATATACAAGCTTTAATAGAATATGCATTTGCCAGTGATATGAGAACTGATTTAGTACTTAGCATGAGGGCTTGAAAGATCATCCACCATTATACGTGGTAAGTTAGCTTAATGTTACAGTAAATTTCTGAATATTCAGTTAAACTGGTACATATTCTGCACATTTTCAATTATTTGGATTTAAAAAAAAAAGTCTGGGTAATTTTTTTTTAATCTGTAGGTAAGAGATGTATTTAGTTTAATGAAGATAAGATATTTGGCTCTACTCTTATATATGCCCTAAGGTTGGCAACTGTGCCGGTATGTGTTCTGTGCTGGTTTTTGGCACGATTGCATGTTGTGCGATGGTTTTGGGGACGATGTTTGGCAACCCTTTTGATGTTGAAGCTTACTCTTTTGCTGCAGTGGTTTTATTTACTCATTAGTTTGTGTCATGCGTGTTTTGAAATGGCATATGTTGCAATGAAAGACATGGTGGCAAGATTTCAGTCACGTATTTTAGATTGTGTGCAAAGCAAAATCCTAAATACTACAAGGATTTAGGAAAGGAAGGTTTTGAATATTTATTTGTGAACCATAGTATCAGTTTCGTGGATATCGAGTCTGACTGTCATATAAATACCATAGCAAGTATGTGGTGGCATGTTGAAGCTATGTTCTGCTGTCTGAAGAAGCATTCATTATGGTAAGTGCATTTTATTTTATTGTTTTTATTTTGTAGAATGCTATGTTCATTGTTTTTTTACTATGAATTTCTGTTGTTATTGTTGTTTTTTTTTTTTTTTTGAATTTTTTGTAATTTATTTTAGTTATTTTGCTGATTTGAGCGCAATGCCTAGATTGTGAAATTCATAGATGTTTTTTTAACTTTAAACAGAATGCTCTGTACATGGTATTTTTTGAAATTTATTGTTGTTATGTTAATTTATTAAAGTGAGGTGTGCGTAGTTCATAGATTCCTTCGCTGCCTAGATTGTGCAATTCATAGATGTTTTTTTTAAGTTAAAACATATTGCTGTGTACATGGATTCTTGTCAAATATTTTTGGCTAGAAACTTTACGTTTTTGCTATGTAAATTTTTTGTTTTTGTTTCGGATTTTTAGCTTAAATTGTGTGTTCAAAACATGGTTTTTGCATATGCAAGAACCATGTTTTTTTAGACATTTTAGGCTTAAAAGTTCGAAATGTAGTCAAATATTTAGATAGTAATTGGGCACCTTGGTGTTTCTCGGCAAGCGAGGGCGTATATAAGAGTAATTCCAGATATTTTCCTTTTTTCTTTTTTTTTATTTGAACAAAGCTTATGTGTTTGATAATAATAATCATAAACATTTTTATTCAGAGCATATTTATAATTTATGCCCTTCAAAATATCTTAAAAAATATATAAAACATAGTCAACTAACTAAACATAGTCTTTTCATTTTTTGCTTCCTCAATTAATTATTTCTACTTTCAAGAACATTGCTTGAAAATATAAATTTTATCTCTGAAATAGTTTATATTCCTTTTTCATACTTATCCAGATTGTTAGCTTATGCGTGGTTTCACCTTTTTTTTTCAGTCTGTTAATGATATTTACTTTGTTGTTTAATATTGAAAGAATTTGCTGTCATTTCTTCTAGCAAATTAACTAAAAAGAAAATATATCAGATTTTACCCTCAATAATAATAATTAAAAAAAATATAGTAACTGACTGTGGTTTACTCTACTCTGCAAAGAAGTTCAAAGAAGGACTTGACATCATTGCATTTATTTAATCCATTGAAAAAATAGAGCACTTTTTGTCCCTAAGCAATGACTCGTGGAGTAGTGAAGAACAACAAGGCTCTCTCTCTCTCTCTATATATATATATATACTATATAAAGTATGTCTTATTTTTTTTTTTGTTAATGCTTACTGGCTGTTTGCCAATCAATGCAAGGCAAACTATTATACATATCAATATTAATTTAGTGGCTTTTCAACAGTTTGTGTGAGAGTTACTTTAGTTTCTTAGCCAGTGAGTTTTAACTTGCAGGCTGTCTCATTTCTTCTTTGCTACCATTACATTAATTTATCTATTGAAGTTGAAATTTAGGTGAATCTTGGTTTTGCTCAGATGATCGGGCGATTACTAAGTCTTAGCTGAAGTAAGGTTGTATGCGATCCATTATTTGCTGTCAGTTTAAGTATCATCTAGGGATAAATAGAAATTGTTTGATCTAAACATTTGCTGCCAGTCATTTGTTGACACGTGATGTGGTGGTATCATCTAATAATCAATCACGTGCCAGTGCATGGTGAGATATAAATTAATAATATTGGCATTGTGTCTTAAAATGTGTGTAGTTGTGTATCGGCATGGTAGTAAATGTCGTAAATTTGACTTTTTTTGTTTTTGCATTTTTCATGTAAATTTTTTTCAAAATTTTCCCACAGTATGAGCAACATAAATGATAATTTACTGAGCCTTTCTTATCCTAAATGAATAAGACGTGAGTACAAATAAAGAACTTGCAAAATATTCGAAAGGCTGTTTATCAGATGAATATATTAGTAAATTCAATTCTTCAGGTGAGGAACAGTATGTCCTTTACACAGATGATTCTGAATATTGAGATAATGATTTATGTGAAGAAAATAATGCAGAAATTTC